ATTCACTATAAAATCTAGAAAATACAGTTGCAGATTTCAAGGCAGATAAAAGTTGTTGTTGTTGTTGTTGTTTTATTGTCACGTATTGTACACTCAAATCTAATACAATGCAATGCTGGAAGTCATCAGAATTACATGTACAGTTGAAGTAAGAATTATTAGCCCCTCTTTTTTTCCCCCCAATTTTCATTTAATGAAGAGACACTTCTATACAGCTTAAAGTGACATTTAAAGGCTTAACTAGGTTAACTAGGTTAACCAGGCAGGTTAGGATAATTAGCCAAGTTATTGTATAATGATACAGTTTGTTCTGTAGACTATCAAAAAATATATAGGTATAAGGGGCTAGTAATTGTGACCTTAAATGGTGTGTAAAAAATTAAAAACTGCTTTTATTCTAGCTCAAATAAAACAAATAAGACTTTCTCCAGAAGAAAAAAATATTATCAGACATACTGTAAAAATTTTCCTTGCTCTGTTAAAAATCATTTGGGAAATATTTGAAAAAAGAGGACAAAAATTCAAAGGGGGGTAATAATTCTGACTTCAACTGTATATGTATATAGACAATAATACAAAATTGCATCTAGACAGGACCCCTTAGTTTCAAGTAATGAGTAGATACTAGTCCATATCTACAGTATGTATGTATTATACAATATGATCACTGTTGGTAAAAGTGACTTCCTGTATTCTTAACTTATTTGTCGCTTTGTTTAGGTCCTTGTATTATACTGAAATGCCAATTAAACGTACATTTTACTCCGTATTTATTCTCCCTCTTTGTCTTTCCTCAAGAACAAAATCTCGATCACCACGGAAGTCGAAGCGCTCCCGTTCGCCATCCCCGCAGCACAAATCCTGGAGGTCTTCATCCCGATCGCCACATCGCTCACACAAAAAGAGCAAGAAGAGCAAACACTGAACCCTTGAGCCTGTTAACGCTACAACGTCTCAAACAGCCTGCGGATGGATTGTTCTCTTCATGCACAACCACACGTTTCCAGTCCGCCAAGCTTAGTGATTATGGACTGGCAGATTTCCAACTGTTTCCAGAAGGCGGTTCTTCTGTCTGTGTGGCGGCTGCAACCCGGAGTTTGGCGGAGGTTATTTTCTAAGATGAAGTGTGAACTTGTACAGATCTTATTTTCGTTTTGTAAACTCTTTTATTTGCGTTTTTCCCCCTTCGTTTTAAATCCAGTGTTTAAAAAGAAATGCTGCAAGATTGACTCCACCGTCTTCAACTTTACAATAAAAGCAATTGTGGAAGGACGGATGTGTTGGTGTGAATGATATGAAACAAATACAAGGTTTTCAAAAAGCAAACTCTAAATTCCTGTTTACATTTAGTGACAATGTTACAGTACAGGGTGTATACAGAAATCAGAGAGTCAAATTTAGTAACTTTCAAGACCTTTTTTATGACCAGGGTGTCCACGGGGTCTTAAAAAGTATTAAAAGTTGATAAATCAGTGTAGAGAAATTTAAGGCCCTTAAAAAGTCTAAAAAGCTATTTTGCAAAGTATTACATTTTATATCATATTTGAATATGCAATGTGTAGTTGTATGCTAAAGTTTGCCTGAAATGAATCTGGAATATCAGGATGCTGTGTGGTTTATGAAAAATCAATAAAATCCTGCTATATCTGACATCATGCTGCTTTGTTTACTGCAGTAACCAAGGCAACACAGCTCTATAGGCGCCACCTGCTGAATTAGCTAGATTTGATAGATTTTTATTCAGTATATGAATCATGTTTTAGCTTTAGATTAGTTTCTCACAGTAATATTTAGTAAATATAGTGTAGGGTAAAATCTCACCAAGTGTTTCCTGTTCTTAAGATGTATGGAAAGAGTCTTAAACTATTGCATTTCACTCTGATTCATGTATATACTCTGAAAACTCTTTCCATACATGTTAAGATCTCATTTGACTGAAGGTTTCAGCCGGTAACATTGGCGACATTTTAACAAACAGTATATTTACTTAATACTGATTGCAAGAAACTAAAACAGTATTCATATACTGAATACAAATGCTCATTGGCGCCTATACAACTCCAGGATTTGATCGATTTCATGAACTACACAGCACCTCAATATTCAGATGAAATTCAGGCAAACTTTAGTGTACAACTATACACTGTAGAATCAAGAATTTTACAACATTTATTCCTCAAAAAGTATTAAAGTTTGCTAAATCAATTTAAAGACCCTGTAGACACCCTGGAGTAATATTATACATTTAAGTGAAGTTTCACAAACTAATGTCGAGAGGAGCATGTGATATGATTGACCACAGCTGGTCTCTCATCTACAATCATTAGTTAGCCAATCAGATTAATCCAAACTAACTATAATTAGCCCAGCAAAAAAAAAAAAAATCACTCCCTTAGTTTTCCGAAGAAACCCCCCATCCCCCTTCTTTCTTTACCACAGGGATCTCTTGAGAACCACCTGATCTCGTACTCCCCTTACATGCTCTATCAACCAGGCGGGAGCCCTGGGCTCCATTATCTCTGAGCTCAGGGTTCTCCCCCGGGACAGCATGCCAAACCTGCTAATAGCAACAATGGCAAATCAGCGCTGTTTTAAGAAAGCCATCAACAAAATGTTAGCGGGAAATTGACGGTTGTTATTTTAATTCAGTATTGTGAAAAATCTAATATAGTGAAATATAGTGAAGTTTTTTTTTTTTTAAGGGGGAGGAGCTACTCTATGTCCCACCATCTCTTTGTGTTTCAGTTAAGATCACATAAAACATTGAATAAAATTGTCTTCGCATTGAATAAAATTGTGGATCTTAAAATGTCTTAAACCCCAAAAACAAAATTTTAGGCTTTAAACATTCTTAAATTTACTAAAATATAGTGTTGTAGGTCTTAAATAATTTTACCCTGGTCATAAATTTCCTCTGTCCAAGTAAAAGCTACCCAATCAGGCCGACATTCATCCAAATCTCCAACAATCCATCTTAATAAAATAAGAGAAAGAAAACAAAAAACTACACAATTTCTCTTGATAATAACAGAGCAATATATCTCTTTATGTTATCTTCCATTCATACAAAAACTATTTACAGAAGTAAGGGGGAGTAGACAAAATATTTATAAATAGACATGAAACTTAAGGTTTTAACAAATGCATGAGGTTGAATACTCAAGTTATACTCAATCAGTTTGGATGAGAAGGGTAAAAATGGAGGTCGGAGCCAGCTCCAAGTGCGCTGTGCAAACCTGGATTTATTTATTTTATTAAGTCGTATTTAGAGTTCAATATTGTGCTTTATGAAGGTCTAACCCTAAACCCAACCTCACAGTAACCTGATGTGTTTTATTAACGTCTACTTACCTAGTGGTCGCCCACTGAAGCTAAGCAGGGCTGCGCCCGGTCAGTACCTGGATGGGAGACCACATGGGAAAGCTAGGTTGCTGCCGGAAGTGGTGTTAGTGAGGCCAGCAGGGGGCGCCCAACCTACGGTCTGTGTGGGTCCTAATGCCCCAGTATAGTGACGGGGACGCTATACTGCTCAGTGAGCGCTGTCTTTCGGATGAGATGTTAAACCGAGGTCCCGACTCTCTGTGGTCGTTAAAAATCCCAGGATGTCCTTCGAAAAGAGTAGGGGTTTAACCCCAGCATCCAGGCCAAATCTGCCCACTGGCCTTTGTCCATCATGGCCTCCTAACCATCCCCATATTCCAATTGGCTTCATCGCTGTCTCCTCTCCACCAATCAGCTGGTGTGTGGTGTGCGGTCTGGCGCAAAAATGGCTGCCGTCGCGTCATCCAGGTGGATGCTGCACACTGGTGGTGGATGAGGAGATTCCCCCCATTGTGTGTAAAGCGCTTTGAGTGCCCAGAAAAGCGCTATATAAATGTAAGGAATTATTATTATTATTACTTCACCTACACCACTTAAACCCAACTTACTTGTGGTTTAAGTCCCATCCACTTTGAGGTCCTTGGGCTGCAGCGATACTTACTTGATTTGGACTAAAAGCCCAAAAATATATATATTTTGGATTATTTATGTAATTGCCTCCACAATAAATATACTTTTTTAACAATGTTAAACTTGTCATTTAAAAAAAAAAAACTGTTTTGACATTAAAGAAATAATTACATTAGTTTTTTTTGTGGTGAGCAAAAAAAAAAAATCCATTGGCCAAATCGGGCCATTACAAAAAATTATTTGTGTTTAGCCCTGTATAAGTCTACAATGTCATTCATCATAATGGTCTTAAAAAGTTTTGAAATTTGACTTGATGAAACCTGCAGAAACCCTGAATATTATCTAGATAACACATTCTCCAACTTCGCTTAAATGAATTTAAATAAAAACCACATAAGAAAAATCTGCATTTTTTTCGTTGTATTTATTTCTGGAATCATACACATAAAAAAATCAGGTTCAATTATTTTTACAACATTAAAATAACACTGACAAAATTGAAACGAGTGAGTTAGTGCTCGTGTTGGAAATGTATGATACTGGGCTTTCCAGAAACGTTGACTCTGAGGGTTAAAATGTGCAGGTGAAATTAAAGTGTGTGTGTTTGAAGGGCTGATCACCTGCGTCTCATCCTGTCTCCATACAGGCTTGCAGTTTCACTCATCCATTAAAATGGCATCATCGATCTGTGCAATGTAGAGCCCTTTTTTTGTGCACGTACAGTAACGATACAACACCACCTCTTCAAAGAAATCAAATTAAAAGCATAAGAAGGTAAAGAAAGAAGCATTAACCGTGTTTTTTCCATCTGTCCCTGATCCTCAACTGTCCCCGCTTTACAACTTCCTGGGTCCCTGTTCTCTGTAAAAGAGGCGGGACTTATCAGCTCCGCCCCCAGAGTACTCTCCAGCAGCCGATTGGTCGATAAATGGGGGCTCTGTTACATATAAAGTGGCACTGATTTTGTTTTAGCTCTATCCAAAATAGCTGGAAGGAGCTATACATCGTTTCTGTTTACTGAAACACTCACTGGGTGTCACACTCAGCACTCAATATTTCTTAACATTGACAAAAACTTTAATGGCTCCGGTGAAATCAGCAGAGAGCAGAACTTCAGAGTGGTCTGTTTTCAGCGCCCCTGAGGAAACATAAGGAAAGGGTTATTTCTGTGCACTTCTGCCACACTTGATGATCACGTTCACATTGGTTAAAGTCAGTACCTGATGGGATGGTCTCCGAGTCGTCTGTGCTGTCGCTCTTACAGTCCGAGTCGGGTTTTTCGGAGCCTGCTTCCTGAGGCACGATGAGATCCGGATGAGGAGCAAAAATGGCCGATGTCACAACCGCGTTATGAGCTACAAAGCAGGAGAGAGATAGAATTTAAGCTCCAAACTTTACAGACATTAACGATCAATTGAAATTCATAGATAAGGGGGAACTGATTATTTTGCTGGAATGGTTCCTATGGCTCGCTTTTATCAAGCATTTAGCTATTGTCAATATTAAAAATAATAATAACAGTCAGCGCCAATAGCCTAGTGGTTAAGTGCACCAACATATAGCACCATGGTGCTCACGAAGACCCAAGTTTGATTCCCGGCTCGAGGTCCTTTGTTGATTTTCCCTTCTCTCTGTTACCAGCTGTTTCCTGTTAGTTCTCTGCACTATTCTATCCACTAAAGTTTCAAACCCCCAAAAATTAATAATAAAAAATAAATGATAATAATGACAATAAGACATTCCAATATTTCACAGTAAAATAAAATGTAAAGTTTTCTTAAATTGTTGTAAATTGCTTTTCAAACTTCAAGCCTTTGCTTTTGTCAGAAAACATTAGTTGTACATTCATTATTGAGGGGTGTTGTAGCATTGATTGAGTGCACTTCAAAACATCCACAACAACAAATGGCTGGTCCCTCTAATAGTGCACTACTTAAGAGAATGGAGGGCATTTGTTCATCTGCCGTCCACACTGCTTCCAAAATCACCAACACTGGTGTTCTGAATAATTATAGACTAGCAAATTATGGAAACAGAGAGGTTTCGGAGGCTTTTGGCTTGCGGAGACTGATCGTCTGGACCGTTACAAAACATGCACACGCCCTGTGAGAGAGAATGGTCAAGTATCTTGCGTTTTAGCCTGTATAGGTCTAAAATGCAATAAAAACTGGGAATGCACAATATATTGCAAAATTATCATTATCACAATAATAATACAGCGATTGGACAAAGAAACCGAAACACTGGTCAATGTCCTGGTGCTAGTATCTAACATAAAACACGCTGCCCTACTTACTGAAGAATTAAAAGTGCACCTTAACTCTCCTGTTTCCACCAAAACGTTTCATCGAGAGCTCCACAGGGTCAATATACATGGCCAGGCTGCTATAGCCACACTTTTGGTCACTCATGCCAATGCCAAACAACCGTTTCAAGAGTCCCAGCAGCAAAAATATTGGACTGTGGACAATGTGAAACATGTATTGTTTTCTGATGAGTCCACCTTCACTTTCCCACACCTGAGAGAGTTATGGTGTGGAGAAGCCCCAAAGAAGCGTATCACCCAGACTTTTGCATGTCCAAAACGAAGCATGGGGGGTGGATCAATGATGGTTTGGGCTGCAATATCATGGCATTCCCTCAGTCCAATACTTGCACGAGATGGGCGCATCACTGCAAATGACTACCGAACCATTCCGGAGGACTATGTGCATCCAGTGGTTCAATCCATAGTATTCTGACAGCGGTGCTGTGTATCAGGATGACAGTGCAGAAATACACACAGCAAGACTGGTGTAAGGGCGGTCTGATGAACATGAAAGTGAAGTTGAACATCTCCCATGGCCTGCACAGTCACCAGATCTAAATATTATTGAGCCACTTTGGAGTGTTTTGGATGACAAGTGAGAAAATGGTTTCCTCCACCAGCATCACATAGTGACCAGGGTACTATTCTGCAAGAAGAATGGCTCAAACCCCCTCAGATCAATGTGCAGGATTTGTATCTGTCAGTCCCAAGATGAATTGGCATTAATGGCCGCAAAAAGAGACCCTACACCACAGGTGTCAAACTCAGTTCCAAAAGGGCCGCAGCTCTGCACAGTTTAGTTCCAACCCTAATTAAACACACCTGATCAAACTAATTGAGTCCTTCAGGCTTGTTTGAAACCTACAGGTAAGTGTGTTGGAGCAGGGTTGGAACTAAACTGTGCAGGGCTTCGGCCCTCCAGGAATTGAGTTTGACACCCCTGCCCTACACCATACTAATGAAATATAGTGGTTTAAACTAAGCATTTCAGTTTTATTGTCCAACCCCTGTACATATGTAAAGCTTTTGTGTGATTAAATGACATTTATTTTATGCTTCGGTTGGTTGTTTATCTAAACTTGACCGATCAGATGAGGCCTTACAATCTGTAATCCCCCCTCCCCAGTGGTTGCTGTTCTGCTATTGGCTGGAGCGGCCCAAAGGTGAACCCAGAAATAAAAATAAATACTGATGGCAGCATTGGATGGAGTCACAAGTTCTGTTGAGGTTTTCACTCTGTCAGAGAGTTTTAAAGAGTAACCTGTAATGAAAAACATCACTTATTTTTCCAGTATCGTGCAGCCAACTTCAGTGCAGAACTTCAAAGGCGAAGCAGAGATGGGTTTACAGCACCAAAAACGCATGATCTGCTCACGTATAAAAGATGAGCTTTACTCCGAAACACTCAACACACTTGACGCCTCTGCGATTTCAGCATAGACTTCACTGACGCACTGCTAAAACAAAGAATTCCTGTAATAACTCTCACTCCGTGACTCATTTCCGTTCCATCACCTTACCTTTGATCCCTTCCCAGAAGTCATTGCGGTCTCTCCGTACAGAGGTGAACTTGCTGAGGTCGTGGTACGTGCTCCAGATGTACACATACTTGTCCTCTGAGCCGCTCACAATGTAAGAGTAGTCGTGACTGCAGGAACAAGGAGACATCCTTCAGATTCACTCACATTTCGTGAAAGGCCTGGGTAGAAGCGCGAGATCACAGCCGGATGTTTCTGGGGCTGTGTGTGTTTCTCACCTGAAGCTGGCTTTGATCTGACTGCTGCTGTTCACGTAGCCTTTGTACTTCATAGACAGTGACAAATCTCTGAGGTCATACAGGCGAATGCGGGAGTCGTTTGACGTCACCAAGATCTGCAGAGGAAAAGGAGATCAGCACGAGCGTAAACTCAATGATGGACGTCAACCTTGGAATAAACAACAATGTCCTGATTCGTGCTTTACTGCAGTAAACTTCTGTTTCCCCTCAAATGAACACAGCTCACCTTGTTTTCTCCTGGCAGTGGCTCAATGCCGGTGATTTTGCGGCCTACTCGATTCCTGCCTCTTGTGGAGCGAACGTGGATTTGGGTGTGATATTTAAGGCGCTGAGCGTAACACATAAGCAATTGGTTAGTTCAATAAATAATGTGATTTTAGAAATCATCCTGCATGTTGAAGTAGGGAACAAAGAATAAAATCAAGCAAACACTCACCTCGGTGTCATAGAAAATGCAGCGCCCATCATAGGTGCCAATTACTGCATACTTTCCATTCTGGCAGAAGTTAGCTGCTGTTATCAGACGCGTCTGTCCATCCACCTCATTCCACAGCGCCACTTTCTTATCAGGAATATTCCATAACCGCAGCTTTCCATCTAAAGAACCGCTCAAAAAATACCTGTCATCCTGGGAAAACAAAAAAGAACAGGCAAAACAAAATAAAACGTTATCATGGTATACCTATACTATTTGTTTTTGTTACTTTTTTAAAATACTTTTGAAATTAATATGTTCTCATTTTAATTATTGTTATTCATTTTGTATAAAATTTACGTCAATAGCTATATAAAATAAAATAAAAAATAAAAAACTGGTGACAGAGTGGGTTTATGAACATGAAAGTGAAGTTGAACATCTCCCATGGCCTGCACAGTCACCAGAACTTAATATTATTGAGCCACTATGTAGTGTTTTGGAATAATGAGTGAGGAAATGTTTTACTATACCAGCATCACATAGAAACCGGGCCTCTATTTTTGAAGAATTATTGTGCCATGGAGTTATGATTTCGTTGTTTATCTTTATAAATCCCTTACCCAAAGAGCACATACACATTGATTATCCCTGAAGCCCTTTTGGTTTGATTTTGTACTCATATATTCAGCTTTCAGACAATGTATTAAACTCAAATTCCCAAAATTGGTCCAGGATCCATGTTATAAATATGAGAAAAAAATAAAACCTAAACAGGGATAAATTTTGCTTTCATAATCTGAATTATAGAGGCGCTCTAACTCTTTAACTCTATTTGACTTCATTACACAGCAAATGTGTTATGCTTTTTTTTGTTTTTCTGTGACAAACCCAATGTCAGCTTGGATATTTTTCAGCCAGTAAAAAGACAGTTTTTTTTTTCAGCAAGGATTTTAATGTAAACAGATTTTTAAACTGCTATTGTAACGTTTCTTGATGCATTCATTTTACAGTATTTTTGATCAAATATGCATAAGAAATCTTTTAAAAAATCTTCAACAAGTAATTAACAGTAGTTTACGCTAGCCTGCACACTCACCCTAGGATGAAATGCAATCGCTGTAACAAAATCTATATGCTGAAAACAGCACAGACACTCTCTCCTGGAGATGTGCCACAAGCGAACCGTCTTGTCCATTGATGATGACAGCAAGAAGTAGTTCTGCACAGAAGAGAAGCAACAGTATTTGCAATAGTCACCATTTAAAACATGCTTCCCTGCTCAAAATCTGTATTACTAGTTTCATACAGAGAGAAGCACTGATGACAATAGCTCTCACCTTTGACCAGGACAGATCTAGCAGGTCAGCGGTGTGACCTTTGTACTTGCAGAAAGGAACCTGCCGGAATGGGACGTTTCTGTCCTCCGTGTCTGCATCTTCCACAGCAGCACCAAACTGATCAGGCATAAACAAGAGACATTTTAAAGTATTATTCATTGACTACAAACCAAAAAGAAAAGTGCAAACAAAACCCCTTACCCCTCCTTCTGTATCTGATTTAGAGGAACACAGACTCTCCTGAGAGGGAGACGGTGACACACGTCCTGAGGGAGAAAACAAAGAGACTCTTAAAACAAGGAATCTCAGTGTAATAACTAGCATAAGAATGTGGTTATAGCAAAAATCAGTGTGCTAGCTTTGAGAATGAAGCTGTTAGCTTCCAATTCACATTTAAAATAACATTATTATCCATAAACCAGTGATTTATCTTGGGTAAGGTTCACACGTACACAATACAAATAAACACACACAACAACCAAGACTACACATAATCCTACAACAAACCTTTAAAATTAAATAAAATTAAAATATCTGATCTAGAATACAAGACTCTGCAATACTAATTAGCTTAGCAACATGCTAACACCAAACGATGGAAATCAGTAACAATTGCACCCAAGGCAGAGCTCTGTTCGTTCGGACATTTGCTGCCTATGTAGAGCACTCTAAAGAGTATCATATGAGGCTTAAAAGGTTCTCAATCTTTTTTATATTTTCAGTATTAGGCAAGGTTATTTCTAGCACAGTACTTCTGTTGTAATGATTAAGCTGCTTGAAAAAATGGTTAAAACAGTACTAAATAAAACAATTAAATAACAATTGATATTTATTTATATAATTATATTTCTATTTAATAGTAATTTTAGATTATAATTTATTATCTTAAAAACATGAATTATTATTAATATTATTACTACTACTACTACCAACACTACAACTACTATTATCATTACTACTATTACCATTACCACTATCACTATGCCAGCAGTTAGCTCTTTGCAACTCTCATATGGTCGCCCACTAAAGCTAAGCAGGGCTACACCTGGTCAGTACCTGGATGGTAGACCACATGGGAAAGCTAGGTTGCTGCCGGAAGTGGTGTTTGTGAGTCTGAGTGGGTCCTAATGCCCCAGTATATTGATGGGGACTCTATACTGCTCAGCCCTGACTCTCTGTTAAAAATTCAAAAAGAGTAGGGGTTAAACCCCGGCATCCTGGCCAAATTTGCCTGACCCTATCATAATTGGGTTCACCACTTTATCTCCTCTCCACCAATTAGCTGGTGTGCAGTCTGGTGCAATATGGCTGCCGTTGCGTCATCCAACTGAGATTTCCTTCAGAAATGTGTATGCGCTTTGGGTGTACAGAAAAGTGCCACATAAATGTTTTTATGTAGATGTATAATTACCATTACTACTATTACTACCACTACCATCATTACTACTACTACTGTTGTTACTGTATTATTATTAACTTAAAAAAAATCAATAAGGTTTATTAGGAAAATTTGTATTTCATGTTTTTCAGACTTGTTCATCTTTTTTGTCCTCAGCAGAATGACATCTTAAATGTCAGTCTTTTCTCTATATAAACTATTTTCTCTGAAAGTATCTAAACACTGAATATGAATGTGAATGGGAAAGGTACAGCATGACTTGAAAACTATAAAAATCTTAAAACAGCAGTTCTCATATGCATAACATGGGTCTAAGCGTGTGGTCACCTTCTGTGTTGTATTTTATTCTCATGTTGTTGAAATAGTCATAGGCATTTTTGAGGACCCAGATCCGAACTATATTATCCTGGCCTGCTGTTGCCAATAGCCGTCCGCAGTGAGAGAACTTCATTGTCCAGACGGCACCCTGACCGAGAGAGAGAGAAAAAGAATCAGTAAATAATTCACTACTACATCACAAATAACTAAACAGGTTAAAGTTCAAATGAAAGGTCACACACGCTCTCCTCACCATGTGCTCTCCGCTCAGGTCCTGCACCACTTTGATTTGGTCAAAGTCAAAGGGCCCTTTGAAGCTGTGAGCCGCTTTAAATTTGACCGGTCGTGTGTACGGCATCCCTTCGTCATCACTGGAGGATGGGTCATCCTGGTCGTTGTGGAAGACCTCGTCTCGAACGCTCTTCACTTTATTCACAGCTCTCTCTCCATATTCCTCTGCCAAGTGTTTCGCCCTCTTTACTGACTTACCCAGAAACTTCTTTAGCTGTGTTCTGAGTGAGAAAAGAAAACATAAAAAAAATCAATTAATCACTAGACACTAAACAGTTGAAGTCAGAATTAATAGCCCTCCTGTTAAATTAGAATTCTTTTACATATTTTTCCCCAAATTTCTGTTTAATGGAGAAGGTTTTTTTCAACACATTTCTAAACAAATTACTTGAAATAACTAGTTTCTACTGATTTGTTTTATCTTTGCCATGATGACAGTACATAATATTTGACTAGATATTTTTTTAGACACTAGAATTCAGCTTAAAATAACAATTAAAAGCTTAACTGCGTTTATTACGTTAACTAGACAAGTTAGGGTAATTAGGCAAGTTATTGTATAACAATGGCTTACACTGTAGCTAATTAAAAATATATTGCATAAGAGGGCTAATAATATTGACCTTAAAATAGTTTTTAAAAATTAAAAAACACTGCTTTTATTCTAGTCGAACTAAAACAAATGACACTTTCTCCAGAAGAAAAGATATTATTATAAATACTGTGAAAATTTACCTCATTAAATATCAAATAATAAATATTTCACATGAAGGCAAATAATTTTGCCCTGGGGGGTGTGTAGCATTTTATTTATTTATTTTAAAGAATACATTTATTTCAGCCTTGATGGATTAAATTGATTAAAGAGACAATAAAGTATACTATTATTAATACTATTACGGAAATTAAAGTCTATGTGAAGTTGCTGCAGACTTTATGTCTGTATGATAACATGTACAACTAAAATATTATACAATATACAAATATTATACAACTGAATATTGGGTAAGGGGCCAGGGTTTTTATTTTTATGTTTTTTTATGTTGTTTCAACTTTCACATGCAGAAAACAATTTGAGGGGCGTGGCTAAGCATACATCTCCCAAGCCGTCAAACTGAAATCATTAGAGATGGACGCAGAATTAAATAATTGGATTTTTTTCTGAGTGGATTAATTTCCATTGATTATAATTGGAAATAATTTACTCCAAAATTAAAATTGTCATCATTTACTCATTCGTTACTTGATTCAAACCTGTCTGACTTTACTTCTTCTGTTTAACACAAAGGAAGATATTTTGAAGAAAGATGAAATCTTGTAACTAGGGGCAGACAGAATCTGCGGACAAGTTTTGCTATTTCTGCTGAGAATTTATTAAATGAGTATCATAACTAAAAACTTAATATATGAAATAAAAAATACATTTTAAACTTTTATTTAATGTTTACAATGCAAATCCAATTAGATCCACTTAATTGGTAAACAAAGCAAGTCTCTAAATATTACTTAACAAACTGCATTGTAAATAAATCATATGATCATTTTAATATTACTATTATTATACCACAAAATATTAGTAAAATTAATAAATAATATAAATTGTAAAATCAATAAAAAATTACACACACTTACACAAGTAAATAAATAAACTCATGATGGGCTAAAAATCTGCGGATTTATGTGTGCGCAGATTCCGTGTGGGTCTACCAGTAACCACTGGTTTCTATAGAATTTGTTTGTCCTACTATGAAAGTGGTTACAGGTTTCCAGCATTCTCCAAAATATGTACAACAGAATAAAGAGTTTTAGATGGTTTGGAACCAGATTAGAGTGAGTACATTTTCACTTTTGGATGAACTATTCCTTTAATTGTTCACCTCAAGGCTATTAATGTGCGCAAGCAAAACAAACATTCTCAATTTTGATGTTAAGTGGACTTTAAATGAAATGCTTCTCTTTGTATTTTTTTATTTATCACAGAATCCTACATTATTTTCCAAATACATTACTACACAACTATTTTAGTCCATTGGATTAAAAAGAAATATTTCTTGAGCAGCAAATTAGCATACTTGAAGACTTCTAGAGGACCATCATGTGTCACTGACAATTAATGATGCTGAAAATTGAAATTTGCATCACAGGAATAAAATAAACGTCTTTTTAAATTGCATTAATATTTCTTATTTTTGATCAATACATGCAGCTTTGGGTGACTATAACGGTCAACAACATAAAAAAAGTATGTTCCTATAGTGATGTATTTTAGCATAACTACAAAGTCGTAAGCTAAAAAAATTAATCTCTTACGTTCTCTGTTTCAGCTTCCCTCCATCTGTGTCAGTAAGGGCAGGCTGGGATTTATCATCATCATCCGACTGTGCTGCGTCGTTTCTGCCAAGAGAAGAGAAAGTGTGAGATCCCACCCTAAAGCGTCTACGGCTGCTGGCTTTCAGACAGGAGTTCTCTTTAAACCCCTTTCAAAATTAGCTTGCATTTAATCCCGATGTAAAACGAGAAAACGAGAAGCAGCGGTCCAGGACCAGATCCAGCAACCCAACTGTTTCAGATTAACCACACCAGCAGAAACTACAAAACTGTTATCAGCTCAGCATTATGAAGAACTTCCTGCCAAAATGTTCCACTTGTGTTCGAGTGGTTTCGAATCAGAGGAGAGCTGGAGAGAAGAAGGGATTACATGCCTTCTTGCTTCAAAAGAGGAAAAAAAACAGTCTGTAGGTTTCATTCGGGATGATAAAACGAGGGCAGATGAGAGTGTGGCGAATCGGATTACTGATAGGATTCGATCCCGCTGCCTGAGGGCCTCGCCGCATCAGCACAAGCAGAGCGATCCTAGCTATCACACTTTAAATGTAAAATCAGCTCTGAGGAGTTCCACAACTCTGAGACAGATTATGTTGTACAGAATGACATCTCAGTCTCACATTTTTTAAGAACACAATTAATGGCTGCAATATTTATATAGTAGGTTTACCTCATTTTTTTGTCAATTACTTTGTACGAAATGTAATTGTGGAGAGGTAAGCATGCTCGAACATGCAATGAGGGGGGAAAGCATGCTCGGAGCCAGGCGGCTAATCAGCAGGCCAATCAGAATTAATAAATAACACCTGTTTATTCTAGTGATTGGGCCGGAGAGACACCCTTCTTAAGGAGAAGAAAGAAAGAGAGAGCGCACACACACGCGCACACACAGTAACATGTTTTTTTTATCATTTGATTTTTTTTTTACATGAACTACAGATTTGCCTACAAATCACAAATGATCTCCTGTAGCTATCATGGGATAGTAAATTGTCCAGTGTATGTGCACCTGACATATGCAAATACTGCAAATATATATTGTGATCATGAACATCAAACGTCTAAGTACAGTGGATAATTATTTATTATTTAAACTTTTAGAGTGCTTTTAAAAATATAAAAAAGTGGTGGGAAAATGTTTGGAGACTTAATAGATTAGCTTAATAGGTCAAGCGTTAACATTTTCATATGTTTGAAATAATTAAAAATTTGGTGACTATTCAAAGGGATATTGTACATTTACACTGTGCATTATGGCACCCTAAAGTAAACTCATGATGAAAACTACGAAAGATTTTATTGAACTTTGGTGATGTTCATTTCTTAGGTAATGCCTAACAACATGTGAAAATAATAGTTGTGATCTTTTTAGTAAATGTAGGTGATAATTAATCAAATTCAGCTGTTTTTTCCATGTAGATTAGCATACACTAGCAACTGCAATACATCTGGCTTTTTCTGACTTTTGAATTTTAATCCATTACTAATTGTTGCTATTCATAATCATTTTGAAAAGGAATTTAGTTGAAACGTTTGTTTAATTTGAACATTTATTTACAATAAATAAATAAAACACAAAGTACAGTTTTGATATTATACATGTTAAAAGTAACTTTTTTGCAGCTTATGTCAGAATCATAATAATACATTATAACATGAATTTTTTGAGTATCAAAAAGAAAATTTGATACTGTCATAAGCCTAATGTGCAATTTAATCTCTTAGTGCGTGTAAAGGCTGATTTATACTTCTGCATCAAGCGCAGAAGTATACTCCGGCGAGGGCTATGCGACTGCGAAGGCTGTGCTGGAGCGCACCTTTCAAAAAATGTAATGTAACTACACATCACAACGATGCGTAGTGCAAGCTCTGTGACTGGCTGGCTTGGTAGCCCTGACAACTGTGGGTGGGACCAAGAGCCTTGCGAAACTCGTTGGAGCAAGTGTTTACAGGTGTGGAGTCTCGTGATGGACCTTCAGGTGGAAAGTTTTGTGTTTATCTTATGAATAAAGTTGTACGTCCACCAGTTCCCACCTCAAAAGGAGCGAGTTTAAAGGGTTCACAAAACACATTTTTTGAGATGTTGACAGTCATATGTGTCCCACGCTGCTGTAAACACTATTAGGATACGTATATTTCACAAAAAAAGAGAAACTTAGTTGTCTTTGCATTATTTCGAGCAAATTTGTTCTTCCGATTTGAAACAAATTTTTGAAGCTGTAAGTACATTGTAACGTCTGACGTGTGTGTGCAGCATTTATTCATGAGAAAGACTTGGTTCAAACCAATTAGTGTACTCTATTGTGAATGAGGTGCTTCATTAATACGCATGATAAAGCTTCGAAAACAGTTTTCACCTGTTACAGTGTTTAGATGGCAGTGAGACGCCACTTTGTGTTGCCAAAACAAGTGGAAGAACAAAAATTGTTTGGAGACACAGGTCATCAGTGTTGCGTTTATAAATGTGCTGCAACAAAGGATTTCCCGCTATGAGAGCGCAGCTGGACTCATGTGTGGACTACAGTGCACACAACAGAAATGCATTTGCAAGGAACATTTTTTACCCAAAAGCTTTTTCGCATCTGGAAATGGTGAAATCCGGATTTGCTGCTCGTCTCTTTTTAAAAAAGACGCGGCTCCAGTTGGTGTTGATTGTACTGTCTCTACAGATTTGGTAAGAGATCGATCAGTGGTCTTTGTTTGTTTATTAAGATGACAAAGTTAGTTTGTATCATCAGCAGTACTTTAAAGACATACCTTAGTCAAAATAATTTAGTTACTAAGTTTACAATACGTTAATATTACTACAATATTATGGACAGAAAGATCGGCTGTAAATGCTGCTTTCTGGATGTAAACATGTAAACACTGCAATCAAACTATTACCATTGTGTAGGATTTGACGCATTTTGTGACAGGATAGTCTATACACACACAGCTTTCTGACACTACGTTACCTACCGAGTGCATCTCAGTTACAGAGTACAGTTACAGAGAAATGTAGAGGGTTTTTTTTCTTCAGATCGACGTGTGGTATCAAACATTCCATTAAAACAACACTCTTCCAGCAGTTCCTTGCATCCAATATCTCGTCTGTCATGGGGGACATGTATGAAATGTTACAGAATGAAAGTTAAAGTGCCTAACTGCAATTAAAGCCGACAAATAAATAATTTAGCTAATAATTTCATTACTGATGTCCATGTAAACACTGTCACTGTCTTTCTCCTCTGTGTCTGTGTGTTTGTTTTGCCTCTGTGAAAATCAGCACATGCCCTAACGGAAACTATATGCAATATGTAAAGTATATATAATATGTAAATCTAGTCGCAATTGCTGATGATGTATTGTGGGAAATGCAGTTTACTTACGAGATGTACTCCTTGGTTCTTCTCATGATGTGCAGTGTGAGCGGGTTGATTCCAGTGGGTAGTTTCTCTTCAGCCTGGATCAGAGGGATCTCCTCACCAGTGTCCAGATTCTTGATCATCACACTCGCAAGAATCTCCTGTACAATAAAAACACACATACTACCTTGAGTAATAACCATTACATTATCAGAGATTAAATGGAGCAAAAAGAGAAGCAGGCCATGTTACATAACTAAACAAAAGCGTCTGTTAAATCAACGGATAAATGTGCAATTGCCGTATGAACATGGTTATAACCATTACATCTACTCTTCAATGAATCAGCAACAACTATGTAATGCAACCATGCAAATAAAGTTTAGTATATGTCCTTCCTCCTTTCAAGGCCACAGAGTGCTACAGCAATATGACAGAAACCAGTTCCATAATCCCTAAGTCATTGTTTTTTTATTTTGTTGTTGGTTAAACAGCGGAAACACACAAGATCAAGATTTTTTTTTTTTAATTCTACAAAAAAAAAAAAAAAAAAAAAAAAAACAACTAAAACCCCATTCTTATGTTTTTTTTTTTGGTTATTGGTGAAAAACAGGTCTTACTGCAAAACGAAACTGTACTGATCCACTTGACAGGCTCATATTTCAGCTCATGCTCACTTTGACTTGAACACATCACACCAGTGTGATCAGTCTAAGCTGATCCCTGGAGCGGACGATTACACCAGTGTGGTCAGAGCATACAGGGCATCACTGATCAGCTAATAAATTCAAATCTGCCCTCACACAATGACTGTTGTTGAACTAGAAAAATATAAAAGTCATGATTTCCAAATAGAACAAGATAGGGGAGTCAGCTGACGCATATAAAACTTATAAATGAAAAGGTTCAATTAACTACAGCTAAACAAGATCAGCTTGCCCTCACATTCAGAAGCACACATTTATGGACTTATTGTCAGCCAAATCCTGTGTAGCGATGTTGCAGGGTGGTAGGTCCACTCTTACTGATTATGCACATGCTTTTTCGGAAAAAACACCCACCCAGGATTTCCACACTTGGTTAGGCAAAAAAAAAAAAAAAAAAGAGTCAGCCTCAAAAAAACTTTGCAAAACTACTTATGATCCAAAAGAAAGATTTTTGGATAAAGATATACTCTGTGTTATGTCTAAAAAACTTTTTTGAAATGTGACCCATGCTAGAGAATAAGAGTTTAAAGACCTGTTCACACAGGGATGCTTTTTGCTTGCGCTTTTCAGTGACGCCTTATAACATGCAAAACGGCTGGCAGAAAATCGTCATTTTTATAGAAATGCCTCATGCTATTTATTTATTTTTTTTTTTTTGCCGTGCCACATCAAAAACCTCTCCACCAATCAGAATGGCATTTTTGTTTATGTGCCCGGAGCTGCTGAAGTAACAGTAAACACCTCTTGGAGGTGCTCAAGCACAAAACAGTGGAGGAGATTCCAGTTTCACTTTTATTCAATGAAAAAAAGGATGCACCGAAGCAAGAAGAATGTGGTGCTACTTTTTTCATTGGTGTCTGAACACATAGAGCTGTAGGATAAATTCAACAATGACTACAATAATGTCAGTCGGAGAGGAGAGTAGTAAATAGATTTGATAAATTTGATGGTGAGTTTCATTTCACTCTTCTTTCATGACTTACAAGTTAACTAGGCACCATCTAATGTCAGGGGGTAATTTTGCACGTTTACTCTGCGCAACGAAGATGAAAATCGCCTGGTTTTGAATGCAGAAAAATGTCTATAAAAACAATGACAATAAATCGGTGTGTACGAGCCTTAAGAGTGAATGTCCACCGAAGTATTTTTTTAAGCAGAGCATTTGTTTTGGGCTGTTGTCAACGATAGTGGCACATTTTTTGTGTTTAGTTATGACCGTAAAACGCCCGCTTAGCACCTCATTGCAAGATGGGAAAAAAAGGCAGCGCCCATCAGTGTCACTTTTGTGCTAGCCGTCTAATCACAGTAGAGAAGGGGTGGGACAATACCACACCTCTCAACATATAAACAGCTAAAGACTTCAATTAGCAATGGTACAACAGGATTCTCTCATATCAACCGATTGAAAAAAAATGCTTTCACAGTTGACTGCGCATTTGGTTAAAAACACAATACGGTGGACACGCAACCTAACTATTTACCAATGCAAATATGAGTTGTGGAAGCTTAATAGTGGTTATGTTAAGGATTAACATATAAATATGTTAAGGTGTCAAGATAACTGTAATAATATGTAAAGATTATATTGCAAACGTGTAAGAATAAAACAGCTTTACTGGTCAACCAGCTTATTTCCTGCAATAATGCATTCATTCTTTTCCTATGCTTATATAGGTGTACATTACCTCATCTGTAAGCTCTCTGCCCGAGTTAGACCTTGGTCTTTGGGGTCCAGCAGTCTCAGCACCACTAGGACTTGATGCCTGCTCATCATTTTCCTGCTCAACCGAAAGAATAGACAAAAAAAGTCAGATGTCAAATATTTGGAATGAAATCTGCACATTTATATTATCTAAAAATGGCAATTTTTAACTTCAAACCTGTGCAGTGACGACTTTATCTCCACTAGTGGCGCTAGCAAGGTCCAAGGAGTGCTGGACTTCTTTAGTAATGCATCGGACTGTGGCGTTCGGGCTGACCAATCCACACAGCTCTTCTGCTGGCTCTATAGAGACTGACCAATCAAAGAGGATGATTTTGTTTTAGTCGATATTTTTCACGTTACACAAAACAGAAATGTTTTTAGGCTTTAATGGAAATGTTCAACTTCCCACTTCTGAAGTTATCAGAGGTTTTTCAAATTCAAATGCCACATTCACTCTTGCCCATTTCTTGGAGTAATGTTAATTTAACACCATAATTCTGTTAGACTAACAGAAAGAAAAAAAAATGCAAAAGCAAATGCAAAATGTGCAAGTATCTAACACATAATAAAACATTGATATGTGGAATGCTAATATGCCTTTTGCAAATAATAATTGTATGTGACATTTACTTAATTGTACATTTTATTTCCTTAAATAATAACAACCTGGGACTTGTCTATAATATATATATCACCTATATAATAAAGAAATTATTTTTCAAATATTTCCCAAGTGCTGTTTAAAAACATTTTAAACCCATTTTTAAACATAATAATTTTAATAACTACCCTATATTATCTAATTCCTTTTTTGTGTCTATGTCATGATGACATAATATTTAACTGTTTACTATGCAATGTACTAGTATTTAGTTTAAAGTGAAATTATGCACTGCATTACAATAATTATGTTAACTAGGGAAGCTAAATTAATAAGGCAGGTCTCTGGACAACAGTGGTTTGCTCTGTAGCCAATAGAACAAAAAATATTATAATATACAATTTATTTACATTTTTTATTCCAGACAAACGAAAAGAAATGGAGACATTCTCCAGAACAACAAATATAAAAGTTGAATTGCTTTGTTAAACATCACTTGGAAAATATTTGGGGGCTAATAATTTTGCCTTTAACTGTATTCAAAGCATTTTGATTGCTTCTGTTGCCAGTCTTTATTTATATGAATCACCTGGTCTTCATTTTCTAACACTAAACAATCACATACTTCACTTTCAGTATAAAAACCCATTGTGTGCTGAATAAGACTAACAGGAAATGGTTATACTATGTATATGTAGTTAATTTGTTACTGACAACTGATTTAAGTTAAATCTGGAAATTCTTCTGGATTATTTTTGGTTGATGAAACATGCAGTGCGCATCAAATAATTTCCAGCATACATATGTACAACCCTCACAAATGATCTTTTACATTTCTATTTTTAATAGGAAGCTATAAAATATTAGATTTGTGCATATACATTAGATTGGTCAGTACTGAAGCCAAATCTGGAGCTTATCTAACAAAATAACTTATGATAACGGTCCAAAAACTTGTACACCCAAATGTATATGTTATAGAAATACAAAAATACAAATGTAAAAATTTGGAAAATCAAGAGAAGCAAAAACATTGAAAAACGTAGTTGAAATTTTGTAGGTTGTAATTTATTTTGCAATATTTTGCTTGAATTTAATTGCATTCTCTTTCAACTTCTAAATATGTTTGGTGACTAAAATATTATTATAATAAATATATCTGTTTAATGAATCTGTTTTGTTTAAATGCACCAAAATACATTGCCTATATTCACTGAGAAATGGATACAAATATTAATTTTTAAATATTTGTTGTGGTTAAAACATATCCTAAAATACACCAATTGGTCTCTTATCAATCATATTAAAATTTATGGCATGCCAACTCAAAAACCTTAAAACCATGTCAGCATTTCCCAGTCATAAACACGAGAAGGTTGTTCATGTTTAATTTCCAAAGACTGAGAAGCTT